AGCCGCTCCTCAGAAGACTTGTTCTCCAGACCCTTCACCAGCCTCGTTGCCCTTCTCTGGACACACGCTCCGGCCTCAATGTCCTTCTTGTAGTGAGGGGCCCAAAACTGAACACAGTATTCGAGGTGTGGCCTCACCAGTGCCGAGTACAGGGGCATGATCACTTCCCTGCTCCTGCTGGCCACACTAGTTCTGATACAGGCCAGGATGCCATTGGCCTTCTTGGCCGCCTGGGCACACTGCCGGCTCATGTTCAGCACTCCCAGGTCCTTTTCTGACAGGCAAAATGTCACTTGCACTTTTCAGTCCAGAAAGAAAATAACCAGGGAATATGTTAGAGGTTCAAAAGACAATCCTTTTTAGGGAGAGGATAGTGTGAATTGACAGCTCACTGCCTTTTCAAGAAGTACAGTGTAACAAATGAAGCCAGCAGGAAGTGGGTTCAAGCTGGACAAAAGATGTGGTTGCGCTGCGAATCTCCTTGTAGGATGTTTTATGTGACAGAAGCTTACACAGGTACACATGTCCACTTTAAAATAGAAGTATTTTTACCCATTTCACTTAAAGTTCAGTAATCGAAGAGAGGGAAGGGACTGTAAAAAGTACTTCTTAAAACCAGTATTTCAAACATATTTTAATCTTCTTTATATCGTATTTCTATGTAATGTAATTTTTTTTTTCTAATTCTGTTCATTATGTAAGTCCTGGAAGGACTTCTATACTTCATCTTCTGTGAGTGATGGCTCTGCCACTTCTTGTAGTATGGCTAATGCACATGGTGAGAACACTGTAGCTGCAGGTGGCGACTCCAATTCCTTGAGAGGTCAATGCGGGCCCTGAGGGGGGGGCTATTTATTCCATGTTACGCAGTGAACTTTTGTTGGCCAGCTTCTTGTCTTGGTTGTCTTGCCCAGATTTTGATTCCCAAATAGATTTTACAACAGCCCTGAAATGGAAAAAAGAATCAAACAAAAACATACCTTTAAGTAGGTTTACATAAATTGCTCTGAATCATTCCCCTCCCATCCACAATTGCTGTAACTGCTCTGCAAAGTACTTCTTTCCAATCTCCAGAAGCTTGCTCCTGTTTTCTCTACCGGCAACACAAATGTTAAACTACAGAGAAACTTAAATAGTTCATGTTTAATAGGTCGTGTTTGTCATCAGTAATACCGTATTTTGATCAAATAAAACATTAAATCACATTGTGTGCTGTCCACCTACCAGTGAAGAATCATAAGGATCATGGCAAAGATCGCACCAACAGTCACAATGATTCCAGTTAGCATGACAAAGACCAGAATAGCATCTGTTGTTGTTCTCCTTGATTGCCCTGTTTCTATTCTCCTTGATTTTTTTGTTTCTGTTTCTGAAGAAAAGAAATACATGGTCACTATTATGTTCAAATTTTCAAATGAATCAGGCATTTAATCTCATGAACAGGACTGAAAAGGAGCAGGTCCTGATTATTTACTATTTGACATCTTTCACAACCTTCAGGCCTTTACCATATCGGCAAAAATTAGAATAGCAACATTTTATACCTTCTTTGCAAAGGCATATCTAACCAAAGAAGATGCAAAGAAATGGAGATCAAGGCACGTGGAGTGGGATACATGTAGCTTAACAGCCGTGAAACACAAACAACTGCAATTCCTAAAGACAAGGAAAAAATTAAAGAGAAGGGAAAGTATCTATTTGGTACATGTTAAGAATGACTAATATAACAATATTTTTGCTTTAAGAAATGCTTTAAGGTAAGATTTCAAGACACATCCATGTAAGATACGTGAACAATAAAGACAGAATTACCACAGGCTATCTGCCACTTGAGGCAGGCTGACTTTTTTGTTCTATGCCTTGAACCAGGTGCTCCATCGCCCAGGGCTCAGGCACCAAGGTACCACCGTGCTACAGAAGAATTCTAACAATGATAATTGCCACGGTAATAATGATAATAATGAAGCCAAAAGAGAGTGCGCTAACAAAAGACCAGATTCAAGGACTTAAGTGCTGCTTTTCAGTTCCCTGCCTCTATCTTGGTCTGCAAAGCCTTTATTTAAAGCAAATAACCACCGAGCATGGAAAGGAGTTGTTCTGCGTGGCCCAGAAATGCATAGTGAGGAGCAGCTGCATGAAACTGAGAAGTGAAAAATGTAGCAAGGATATCAAGTAAAACTGCATTTTGCAATGCTGCAGCCTGTTCAACCATTCACCTAAGGAAACCGAGGGCCCTGCCATTACTTAGGATGTTTCTCTAAGACCAGACATACCAGTTAGGAGATGACTCTAACAAACAACCCAGGAAGAGTGGGAAACGCTGAAGAGGGTCAACCAACTTTCCCCATCTGTTTTTTGACACTGGACAAAGAAACGCCTGGCAACCAAACCCAGTCACCTTCTTCTGAAATTTAATTGACCTTATTTGTTCAGCCACATTCAACCAACTCAATGAACCACGAGGCATCTTCCTAGATCCCTCCAGCTTTGAAAATTTTACACAAGCCAACCCAAATTTCTCTTTCATTTCCCCTCATATAGTTTCTAAAACTATAAGGTGCTATCTCACTGCTGACTGGTATGCAAAATTCATGTTCACACTGGTAGGAATTCTGTGTAGCAGAATGACTGCAGGAAAACCATTTCTATTTCTATTTCATTTCTACTTCTATATAAGGTCCTGTGCCACTGTCATCACTGTAGTATCTAAGCAACTCTTCCATCACATCATTTGAGTTTCATTCTCCTGCATCACAGAATTTTCATTTTGATATTCTTAAACCACAGCTCATCTGTAGGATTCTCCTGATCTTTCTGCAAGATACAGGACAGGTAAGAATGGTGAACTGGCTGGGAATATCATACAATGTTAAGCCTGAACACTGGGGTTTCCATACAGTGTAGAGCTAACTGCTTTTAGACTAATTCACTTCACTGACTGGACTTTTTAGTATTACATGCAGTTGTGGGGCATGGAGGTTAATGAAAATTGTCTTTGATTTTGCAGTTTCATTAATGTAATATATTTTCCCCTTGGCAAGATGTGAATTTAGAGCTCGAACAATCCCTCTGTTTACGGGCGTAACAGGAGCCTGCTGAAGAGAAAAGCAAGTTTCATGTTATCTACAGCTAATCTACTCAAGTTTTCTTCCTAGGCAAGAAATTCTTCCAATAGTCAAGAACCAGAACTGCCCAAGAGACAACCTGATAATACAGAGGGGATGCCTTCCAAGTAAACACACGGGTTTAAAATGCAAGCAGGAAGCAGATAGAAAAGCAGCTTCCCAGTAAGCTGGTTTACAATGAGCAAGGACTGATTCACATCAGGTGCCCCTGACTGCACTCCTAAAGCCCAGGCAACACTCCCAATTAGTCAGTGAGAATTTTGCCACAGCCAGAATATGCCTTAAAAACATCTTTAGCTTACAGTTAAGTTTACAAAGGTGCATTTACATCCACTTTTTTAAAAAGTCCACTTAGCTTAGTAAAAGTAGGAAGAAAAATTCTTTAATGACTTTCAAGTCTACAGCCCACTGCGGGTCTGTGGACTACTTCACTGTAAAGAATGACAAAAAAAAGCACTATCATACACATTCCACAGTTACATTGTAAAAAATTTCCTAAAATTGTGTGCGCTCCACTAGAAATTTTCTAGGGTTCTACAAACAAAAACGACATTGATAACATCTACATCTGACAGTTTCAAGCAGATTGCCTCCAACCCTACTGAAAGCTTGGCATTCTCACTTCACCTGTTGATTATTTATATTCATCTTAACTAAAAAAGGAATGCACTTAAATGAAATGCAAGGGTGAGATACTGCACTTAGGTTGTAGGCACTGTTGGATCTAAACTATGAAGATCCATTTATTTGTGCAAGTCAGAAGCAGGCAGGAAGGAAGGAAAAGAAAGAATGCTCAGATTTTATTCTTGGCCTCCACCGGTGCTTGCTGATTTGAGGCCAGCCCTGTGGCAGAAACCCCAGAGTGTGCTGGTCATAGCTCATGGAAGTGTTTCCAACAGCTCAAATGGTCCAAGAGCCTTACACTCCCTCCACCCCAGATCCTATCTCCTATGCCAATGGGGGGACAACAGGCTGGATTAAAGGAAACCAAAAGTGTCATCTGTATGGCCATTGCCAGCTGCTAAGAAGCTTGACAGCTTTTTTACCTTCTTTCTGCCATCAGAACTAATACTTAGTCTGAGCCACTGTGCAGGACCTGGCTCAAGGACCTTAGAAATTTACTGCTTTCTTATTTGGGCTGAAAGGGATACATCACATACGTCTCCCACACCAAGCACCAGAGCAGGATAGCTCTAAAACAGAGAGCACATTCTCTGCTGTGGTGTGGCCCAGCAACTATATTTGCATTGTATATCACAGTTTAACAAAGCTGCTTTGATTTCTATGCAGTGTAGTGCATCTCTGGACTGTCCTCTGCCTTCATGGAACCCTCTCCCCTTCAATTTGCTTAAATCCAAATACATTCAGAAGCATCTGTTGCCACTGCTAGCATTTCCCTCCAGAAAATATCAGCAATACAAATTCTGTCTCTGCATTCTATTCAGTCTATTCAGTCTCTTCAATAAGAGAGAGATTCACAATACTGTAAATCATATACATCAAGAAAGGGGAACACCTGCTTTTTAGCACCATTTCTGTCCAAAGGAAACCCACTACTTCTGCCAGCAGCACTGTTCCTCTTCATCCTCCTCTTCCCTTGGGTTTTTCATTGATCTGGAGTTCCTCCTAGATCATGATGTTGACTGTACAGCAGTGCTCCATCTACAAGCAGACGCTTAACCAACCATTTATATGGTCCAGCAGCCAACAGGAGTTCTGCCCGCCAGTTTTCAGATCCGTAAAGTATGTATCAGTTCGGCAGTGGGGAATGAGATTCTGCCTCTGCAGGCTGGTTTTGGGGTTTTTTTTCCCCTTAATATAATGGTGATATATAGCTTTTTTCTTTCCCTTCTAGATTATCTATAAGCCTTTTTCTACGTATTAAAAATGGATGGATATATATGCTAATGGGAGAGCAGGATTCCATACACACAGAGGAGATCCAGGCTGTTAATCTTGGGTACTGGGATTCCCCATTTCATTCCTGTGCAAATGCAAGGACAACATGGCCATGCTGATTACATGTTTGTACAGCAGCTGGGTACAGAGATGTGACTTTTCTCTCTCAAGGAAGCTCTGGCACTGAAGTCATCAAAAAAAAAGATGGGGGCTAGAATGGTCTCTGAGACACAGAAACGCTATTGCCTCCATTTTCTCCACAGAAGTGCCACTAGGCACACACCCCAACTCGCTCTCTCGCTCATGAGAAGCGTGGAGCTTGGAGCACAGCTGGGATCTCAGTAGGCTGACACCCTTCACATAGCATCCTAATGAGGATCGTTCTCTGCTCTCGCATTCCTCCCTTGCAGAGTCCTCCCTCCTCACAGGGACTATTATTAGTAAATATGAATAAACTGCCTTCCAGCTCCAAAGCCTTCACAAAATACCAAACAACACAACGGGAGGGAGTGTGAAACAACACCCGTCGATGTTTCAGGGTAGTGATTTAGTAAGAAGGACATATAGAATTGTCAGTTATTAAAAGATGGGATTTTCCTTGCAGAGACCCCAATAATTTTTTATGAAGATAAAATACGGGTTTTTTTCCCCTTTTATGTTTCTCTTGCTATAAAAGACAAAGAGAACCCATAGCTCTGAACAGTTCTGAAAACAAAAGGAAGAGCCAAATTACTAAAGACCACTCATTTATGTAAAAAGGTCATTATGACTGTTCATCAGAAGGTCACTGAGAAGCGCACTGACCATTGGTAAAGGACACATGGAATTTCTCCGTGCATAGATTTAAAATTAACTCATACGGAGTTTTGCCACATGGCAAATACACACAAACTCCTGTGAGGTTTTACCTGCCCTTTTGCAACATGTCTGCCCTTCCTCCCACCTCACACGCCTCAAAATCTGAAGCAGAAAGTTGTCACACTATGTATTTTCAAGTGGTGGCCTTGGGGCCAGGCTTGCAGACAGTGTTGCTGAATCTGGCCACTGCTGTTCACATGAGTAAAACATCAGAGCGCTGGAAAGAGGAGGAAGGATGAGACAAAGGCAAACACATTCGCCCCTTATCAGCTGCATTGATGATTTTTAGCTCTGTTGATGACTTCAAGGCTTTCTCTCTAGGAAAGTGCCAAGAAGAAAGGCCAACCACCGAGCAAACACATTCCCACTTCCCCTGCCCCATCCTGTAGCTCTGGCATGAAGAAAAGTATCTCTGTGGCATAGTGAAAGGAGTGATCTAGGTGATGAGAAAGACAAAATATACAAACTTAAGCTTATTGACTTGAGGCAGAGAGATGGTCAGAATCGCCTCAGTTGGATTAAAAAAAAAAAAAAGTAATTTAGGAGGTAAAAGAGAGAACCCGCTCTTTTCCTGACTAAAACTGATTTGCCCTTTCAGCTGGTTCAAATACACCTCCCGCAATCTATACCAGACCCTCTCCCCACAGACAGTTAGTTTGGCCTGCTGTACCAGGCCCCGGTGCCGCAGTGAGGGGCTGACAGGGTGGCCTCTGTGAGGAGAAGCCGGGGCTGCCCCGTGCCGGACAGGGCCGGTTCCCGCCCGCTCCAATGGGTGGGGCTGGCAGCCAGCCAGGGTCGGCCCACCACACCCGCCCAACTCGCGCTGACTAGATATCTCTGCGGCCAGTTTTGGGTACTGGAAGAAAATCCAGTTCAGTCCCATAGATTACCTGAAAAAGGAGATTTTTGTCCTATTTCTGATACTGATTTTGTGATTCTGCCCTTCTTCACATTTCAGCTTGGAGACCAGATAGATAAACGGCAAAGAAGATGATGTTCGCTCAACAGAAAGACTTAGATTTTCTGGACGAGGTAGAGAAACCATCTTGCTTGACAGGGTTGATAAACCTAAGTCTCAAATTCCCCAACCCTCATTTCAAAAAGTCTTTTAACGAGCAACTGGGAAAGGCAGCATTGTACCGTGGGCAGAAACACTACCCCCTTCCAAAGTCTGAACAACACAGCAAGACATGCTCCCAGAGAACAGAGCGGCTCTGCAAAATACAAGGCAGCAGCTAACGAAATCTACATCCAAACACAAGGAGTCTTGCCGCATCCATTGATGCTGTTGGAAGGATCTTTCTCATTTTCTCCTGATCCTGTTGGAAAAGTAAATGCCATCTTCTGATCTGGCTAGATTTCTGACCGTCCCCAGAGAGCAAAACTAGATCTGTATGATGAAAGTCCTGGTACATTCTCTATCAAAACTTCAGCTGGTAACTTCTTCCATGTACCTAATTAACAGTTACTAATTTGTAAAGTCGAAACAATGTCACTCCTGCGGAAGCAAAGCCCAGAAACTCCTTTGGGCATCTACACACCTCTGTACCAAGCCAAAGAATGCTACTCTGGCACTAAGCAGAACCCCTCATTCCTTTTAAGCTACTTAATAAACCTTAGAGCTTGTCTTCCTCAGATTTCTGTAGAGTCGTAAATATTTTCTGAACCAATAAATCTCAGTCCTTGTAAGAAGTTCCCAGTGGGTATGCCTGTTGGGCGGGTTTCACCGGACCACTTTTCACCAAGACTACTCAGGCACAGCTTAAACACAAGTGGGTGAGTCGTCCTATTGATGACTCACCGACTCAAGTCAATGGGACCATTTGCATGCTTAAGCCTAAAACAGATTATGTGCTTTGCTAATTCAGGTCTCAAAAAGGAAGCTTCCTCTGTACAAAAAGGAATGTAGAGACTGAATAGTGGGAGAAGGGGAAAAAAAAAAAAAGCTTTGGGTGTTTTGTGACTGCCAGATGGATTTAGAAAATGAATAAACAAATGCCATGTTACTGTACAATGGCAGAAAGGACCTCAATAGAGATAGAGGAAATAGTCTATCTTACTGAAGAGAGAGGAAAAAAAACAGGATTCCCAGGCCAGTTTTACCTAGGTAAACAATATGGAGGGGAGAAACATGGGGAGGGGTATCTCCAAGGATTGTTTTCTTTCTAGTCTGCCATAATTTTGCATAAGACCTGAATCTACATTTTTTCAGGAAAAACTTTAAATTTGATAAGCAAGGCACTTTCACCCTTTCTCTGATTAGGAAAGATAGAGTTTCCGCACGGCTGTTCTCATGGTTTGAGAAAATCAGCACACTGCTACCTTTCCTGATGCAGTCAGCAAAACTCCCATTAGCAGAGGAGGTGAGAAAGATAGTACTGGGGAACCTGTTTTATGATGTATTCTTTTTAATGTTAAACTTTCCTAAATCCATCGTGTATGAGCAAATCCCACATGGCTGCTAAAAGAAAAACCCCAAAGGTTGTTTTCCTGCTTCAGTACTGAAGTGGAAAGGAAATTTAACTGCAGAACCCATGCTGATGGTGCTACGTGGCTTAGTGAGGCAGAAAGAAGTCTACGTTAACCAACCTGGGCGCAGTAAAAAATAAGCAGGTAATAGGAAAACCTCCTTGTTTTAGCTTGAATTTTTACAAAGGATAAAGAAAATACTCATTCCTACCACAAGGAACCTCTTCATTCCCGTTCTGTCATTTCCTTTTATATGTCTCTTTTATTGGCCTGCATTTCATGACAGTCATTACCACTGTGCACAAGCCTCTGCCTATATACTAGTGGTGACATGCAATCTTACGAAGATTGAGTACTACATAAAAACCACAAGGCCATATCACTAGAAGACTGTAAGCGTCTCTATGAGCTCACCAGTTGTTGCGTAGACTGTGTATTTTACAGAGGCAATTATATTTCCATTTTCTTGAGTTTCACACTGGAAAGTAACCGAATGGGTATCTCTGCAAACTTCCATAATAGCTGAATCATTGGGAAGAATGTGTGCTGTCTAGCCATATATAAAAGAAAAGAAAAAAAAAGTGGGTTGTATTTTTTGAAATAGATCTGCAAAGACGAGCTGCATTGTGTCAGATGCACAGACAAATGCTTATTCTACTCCAACAGTTTTCAACCTGTCAGGACCTCTTGGCCCCTGGGAAAACTCCTCCCATCTCTTCAGCACCTCCTACATGAACAACTGGGAAGGGCAACGCGGTTGTGACTTGCGGACGTGTATGCGCTCACCAGCCACTATGCCCCATTTTTCTGAAATAACAGTAAGCATTACTCTCTAAAACTATTGTTTCCCTCACATAAACAGGAAATCGAAGCTGCTTAAAGGAGCAAAGCCATGTGAGTCGTTGTATTACAAACTCGCCAGTGAGAAATCAGGGCTTATTTGCGTTATGACAGCAAAGGAAATAATCTGCCCAGAAGTCTGTACGATTCAGATGGAGCATGTGGTAAACACATGCAGCATGCAATTTTCCTGCACAAAGTGGAGTTCAATTACTCACCTTGTTTGGAATTAACATCTTCCAAACATATTTAAATCGATTTTCAGGAGGTATATAAATACAAGGCATCTTCACGCAGGCAAGGCCCTCAGAAAATGGTATTCCCCCTATAGGAGGAATTGTTAATAAGTACATCATCAGCTATATGAAACATCTCTGTATAGATCATAAAGTTCATAACTCTTTAAACCACAGAATGTTACTTGGAAATTATCCTTTCCCTTAAAATTACTTCAAATACGTTTTGCTTGGTCTCATGTCTGGAACGAAGCACATAGCAGAAAAATGGTATTTTACAGGGACTTGAAATCAAGGGCACATCAGTACAGAAATGAGATCTGAAACATTATTGGATTGCTTAACAGGGTAGTTGGAGGGTGGAATGCAATCACTTCATTCCACTTCCACCACACTAACAGAGAATAAGAATGTTTCCTTTGAATCAACTTATTTGCTCTAGATGACTGTATCACAGTGTTCCACTTACATCCACAGTCTACTGGCCCCCGGCATTTCTCCACACGGACAATACATTTTGCTTCAGTCCCAGGGCATCCACTGGTTAACAAAACTTCTCGAATGCCAATCCCTTTGGGGGAAAAAAAAAATAATCTTTCACTCCACATTTCTTCATTTCCTTCAAACTCTGTTTTTGCTTTCTCTTTCTTTATCCTGGATGTTAGTATGATATATCTACCAAATACCAGGCAAAACAGATCTTCTCAGAGTGCCTGCTAAAGCTATCCCATGTTGGTATCTAAGATTTCAAGACATCTACTTCTGTCAGGATCTACACCGAAGGAGCCAGATTCTTAGAATCATGTGTCACAAAAAGAATTCAAAATGAATTCAAAACTTTTCTTACAGAAAAGGAATTTGAAATTAAACTAATATATGTTCTACAAAACAGTTAAATTCACTTTAAATATCAAAGCATTCAGGCTCCTGGCCTTTAAATGCTCAAATCAGATGGCACAGAGAATCCTGTACAGACTGCAGACTCGGTCTGCCTCCAGTCTTGTGAGTGTCTGAGTGTCTTCAACTCCCACCAAGGTCAACAGAAACTGCAGGCACTAAAAATCTCCTGGCACTGGGACTGGGGAGTCTGAAGTTACCTAACAGTGACCAACAATGAGCGATACAGGAATACCACCAACAGCCTCCAAAATGAAGCCGCTCAGAGCACGGGGGCTGGTGGTCAGTAACATAGGGCTTCTCATGAGAAACAGGTGAAATCAAGTCTTGACCACCAGGACTCCGCCTGCAACATGGAGGGTCCTACTGAAGACAAAGAACAGGAGATAACCTATCACAAATGTGTCAAGTTAAGGAAAATTCCTACACAATGTTCCAGGAAGCAAAAAAAATGTTCACTCTCACTATCAGGATTTCAATGGAATCATCCTCATTTTAACAATTACTAACAAATTCAAAACAAGTGGTATAATTGTTTTTGCCAAACAGTGTGTACACAGTTCATTGGAATGACATAGCTTGTGGGGTAGGCAGGAATAATATGTTTAGGCCCAGTAAACACTGAAGGTTTTGCCATTTTTCCAGAAGCATTTTGTTTACTAATAGGCATGGAAAGAGGAGAGTTAAACCCTCCTTGCAGTAGAATAATAAATAGGAAATTGGTTTGAGTATTGCATTTATGATGCATCTGCCTTCCTTAAACGTGTATTATATAAACCAATGAACTTCAGAACGTTTCAGAGATGTCACGTAACTCCTGAAACAGTACTTCAAGTGACAGAGGGAGACAACACCAAGGATCATTCTCCACTCCAGAGAATGCCTTATCTCATGTCTTATCACCTCAGAGACAGAGGTGTAAATGGCAGGGAACTGACTTTTATTAAAGGCATTCCTCTTTCTTCAGTGCCATGTAGGTTTTTTAGCCAACAAAAAAAGCATGAAACCTATGAAAACCCAAAAGGCCAGCTTGATAAAATCTGGGCGCTGGGCTAACTTAGCCACATTCATCAGGAAAAATCTCACTGTGTCTTACCTATGGGAATATTAACATTTGGGAAGTATATCAAAGTTGCTGAAAAAAGCTGTTTTAATTAGATCTGCAAGTTCTTTTGGTACTCCTCTGCCTCTTCCTTTTGGACAGCTTTTTCTTTGACTCCCATGTTTCCTTTCACCACCTCTTCTTAGTAGCTGCCGATGCTGATGAAATTAATCTACTGAGATGCTCCAACAAATGAAGTCTTAACTTCAACAAGTCATACAAGTTAACCTAACAGAAAACTGGCCACAATGCAGTAAAATAAATTACCCAAATGCAATTCACCCTAGAGAAATGTAAATCAATAGACTGGTGGATGGAGGGGGTGAAGAGGGATGATCCACAAAGAACTGAATACTTGGCAATACAAAACCAGCAGTTATGAGAGAAATTTAGAGGTAAGAGTGGCCAAAACAATTAGACCACAAAGAGACTAAGGCAAATTTGAGGCAGGTATGACAAGACATCATTAACATATGCTTTAATTATGCTCTAATGCCTCTGTAAACCTGGACTATGAATAGAGGAGCCGTGGATCTGAGCCACAGCATTACAGGGAAAAAATAAAGAAAACGGAGTCAGTTCAGAAAGCAAGAAATATAAAGGGCTAGATAGGTGAATCTAGGGAACAAGAAGGAATATGAAGGAGACAGAGAGCTTACAGCTTTATTGGAAGAACCAAGAAGCTACCTTTCAGCCTGTCAACAGACAAACATGCCATGCGTTGAACAGCCTACATTAGAATGACGGCTACAAACATGATCTGAACTCCAGATATGAGATGATGCCAGATATGAGATGATGCCTTTTTCTTTTTTGTTAGAGCTTCCCTTTCCTGATTCTTCAGTAAGACTGTATAATTTTCAGTATTAAAGAGGTTAAACATTTGTATTGGGTCTGGCTGCGATGGAACTAACTTTCCCCATAGCAGCCTTCATAGAGCTGTGCTCCCACAGCATCACAGCTGTCTCTTCACACCCCCCACCCCCCAAATGCCAGTAGGCTGGGGGTGGGCAAGAGGCAGGAAGGGGACACAGCTGACCCAAACTGACCAAAGGGATATTCCATACCATATGACATTGTGCTCAGCAATGAAAGCTAAGAGAAAGGAGGGAGAGGGGGGGGCATTTTTATTAAGGTGTTTGTCTCCTGAAGCAACCGCTATGCATACTGAGGTCCCAGAAAGTGGCTGGACATCACCTGCTGATGGGAAGTAGAGAATAATTTTGTTTGTTTGTTTCCTTTGCTTCTGCGCACGGCCTTTGCTTTTCTTTATTAAACGGCCTTTATCTCGACCCATGAGTTTTTCATCTTATTTTCTCCCCGTCCCACTGAGGAGGGGAATGGTAGAGTGGCTTGGTGGGCACCTGGTGGCCAGCCAAGGTTAACCCACCACAGCATTAACTCTGAAGGACCAAAGATAAAATGGAGACAAAATTTAGTGAAATTCCCTGGAAATACGGAACATTTGAGACATCTGCTAGAGGGATGGGACATAAGGAAGAGTTTCTTAGTATCCAAAAGATGTGTGCATCAGAGCAAGTGAGGTTATTAAGAGTATGGGGGTACATATACATCTCAGTATCGGCATCGACAGAAGGAACATAGAAGCAGATTTGAAATTATGAAGTGAAGAAAGAGAAATATTAAAGGATGTAGGAGCAAAAAAAAATCTCCTAAACCTATAATGTCCTAAGATGTGAAATAGGAGGGAATCAAGGAAGCTCTGTCATTGGAAATATGAAAAAGTGGCTGAAAAAAATTAAAAGGCATACTCTAGAAAACATCAGACTGATAGGGGCAAAAACTTGTCTCTCTTTTTTCTGTGGTCTTATGAGAAGCTGACTTTGTTCAGCAAAAAATTAATAGCATTTCTGATTCAAGACTGCTTCCTAAGCAATATAAATACCACCCCACAGCAGTTTCTATCACCACCCCAAATGCAGAGATGTCTTCTTAAGGCTCATCTCATTCTTCCCCTCTCCCCTCCTACTCCAGAATCATACCTCTCCTCTCCATTGCACAATTTATAAATTGTATAAATGTGGAATACAGAACAGGCTACTGCAGGCAAGCAATTTTTTTGGCAATATTGTATGTGGGAAGACATCTGTGAGAAGCATCAGAAGATCTTTCATCTTCTGAACATCTCACAGATGTTCACAAATAGCGAAAATTGTTACTTTGGGGAAGGCAGCTCATGTGCCAATAAACGTAGGGAACTGGTTTAAAATAGGAGCTTGCAGGCTGTGAAATTAATAAAACAACAGATCTGACCTAAACTCCTAATGACAATCAGCCTGCTTGTTTTTGTTAATTATAGTTATTGGCAATTGAAATCAATGAGAGGTGAACGAGGGCAAGCAAATTACAACTGCTAAATTGCTACAGTTAGCACTTTTTTTTTTCCCCAAAAACAAATGACAATATGTTTTATTCATCTGCTTTGCTACTTACCACATGTAACTGTGCATACTCCAAATTCTACTTCCGCGGACACAGTGGCATTCAGACCTGAACACAAAGTCTAAAGTTACATCTCTCATACAATGACGGAGTGGAAATGCCCAATTAACAGGAAACTCACTCCTTGAAATCTTTATTACTTTTTAGTTGAAATGTGAAATTTACCAACATTTTTGCTTTCACTAACTAAACCAGAAGAAAAAGACATTTATGAAAAATTTATCATAAAATCCAGTGTGAATAGCATTCATGTTTAAACCTTAAGATGATTCTTTAAAAGGAAAAAATGTATTTTTCTTATAAACCAGCCTATGATGTTAAATTAGCCTACTGAATGCTCTGGGAAGTGCAGTGTCTAGGTTCTATGCAAATTATAGGTCTTCCCTGAAAAGAGTTAAGAAAATTTTTCATTAAACGATATTCAGTTAATTCATTTCCTTGTTCTTTCCGGCTAACATACGCCTTCCCACGTGATTTTTTTCCCCATCACACTTCAAGGTCAGGTTTAGACAGCCAGCACAAAGATGAGTCAACCAGGTACAGTATTTTAATTAGGTACTGGGGTTTTAATCACTGTGATTGGGTTCCTTCCATTTTTTAATTGTACTTTGAGGTTACAGAATGGGTTTCACAGAATGTACAAAAGCAAAAGGTTCTCATCTCCATCTGGGATTCAAATCTGGATTATGTATTTTATTCCTAATAGCATGCAATTTCAATGTTTGTTCATAAGGATACTGCGATACAGTAACTGTTCCATAGAGAAACTAACTTAGTGAAGTTCCTTTGGAAATCATCATTAAATAAGCAAGAGGTCTTTTCAATTCTTCCAAATGCAAAGAGAAAGTCACTATGACTGTTTTTACAAGTCTACACTGCCAGTCCCGCCTACTCGGATTAATTTTTTCTGATAACAAATACTTACCAATGTAAAGTTTGCTTTCACTGTCTCTCAGGTTTTTATATTCAGGATTTATGTTTACAAAATGTTATTTCTGTGCAGCAATGCAAGTTTATATATCACTTCTTGCTACTAAATCTCTGCGTAACATTTACATTTTTCACACCCTATCCAAAACTTTAAATTTCTCAGGTTGAAAGGAACAGATCCATTTCTCTTGCAGTCAGTGATATACAAATATAAAACCTTTATTTCTCCATTGTAAAGGATTTACACTACAGCAGCACGGTGCATTCTCCATAATGATACACTGATACTGAACTCTTTTTCCCAACATTATAAATGAGCCATCAAAACCTTATTCTTCTGTTATCTCTAACTGTCTCTATGGTTTTGACATTTACTTTAGCATATAAGCTGTGCTCGTCAGATCTGAGTCTTCTAGCGTATGTACAACAATAACTTAAACAATAACTTAACTATCCAGTTGAATGATAAAAAATCCCAACCTTAGCCAAAACATAAGGAAAGACTAAAATCCTATGAAAACAGAGACAATCTGTAAAACAGCTAGTATATCCGCAAACTCTCTCTCTAATGAGCCTTAAAAAATAACAACTTCTTCAGAAGATGGTCCCCACCGTGGACATCCTATCACTTTTCCCTTAGTTTCTTTTAAATTAATGGGGTGGTCATTCAACAGTCTCGTCTAACAACAACTACTACAGTGCAGCAGAGAGGAGGAGGAGAATTTAAGGATCCTGTCTACAGTCTAAATACAGTCCTATTTAAAAATGCCTGTTTTCAACTTTGTACAACGTGAGTTGCGCTTGTTCGTGTGCGCAGAATAAACGTAAACATGCAAGAATGAATGGGAGGGAGGGCTAGGACAGCTTCGATGTAAATTCTCAACTCGGTAGATTTCTGACAATTCATATCGGCTTATGGTAAGCCCCGAACCTCTACCCTGAAAGTAGGCATTACTGTAATTCAATTTTGAGGTAACAAGCTGAGTGTAGCCACAGCAGGGTGTCATCATGTCTGAAAGGAGAAGCTGCCATTTCCCATCCAGACACAAATTTAAAAAAAAAAAGAAGAAGAAAAAGCTTTAGAAACAAGAAGAGACACAGGTATTACTAATAGAAGGTCGAGGGACTCTGCTAACCAGTGAAAGCAAACTTCTCCTAATTACAGGTGAAGATATCAACCATGATACCCTTTCAGGATACTTCTGTCTTCAGGAGCACCGCAATGCGCAACATGACTCTTGTCAGAGATTCATAATGATGACCTGACTATAGCTCTAAATAAAAAAGATACTCTATTTTCTAAGTAGTGATATTCCAAATAAACCTTTAAACACATCTAAACATTAAAAGCTGATTGGTTCTAAATTAATGAGTTAATCGGGAAGCACCGATCCTGATTTCTGATTTAATGAAATTAAAAAAAAAAAACCACCAAAAAGAAACTTTAAGGGAAACAGGATCAGGTTCACTGACAATCCTCGGGATAACACAACACTTTTTATATGAATGTTATGAACCTTCCATGCCAATATCATAACAAAAAGTTTTGTATTGCTTCCTTTACTTGCACTTCATCCCTACGTTTTAAGTGAACCAAAACGTTAAGAAAGCTTCCGGTAAGAAACGACAGATCTTTCCACTAATAGAAGATGGCTTGCTCCAGTTGCATCAGGTTCAGACAAAAATATAGTGTCAGCCCTATGCAGAGAATTATGTATATAGCTGCCATTAGCATTAATAGGAGTTATATATGTAAATCCCACACATGCTGAGATAAGAATGTGCTAAGGAACTGCATTTACATTCCTGTCAGGGGGCTGCAATTAGTACCAGCACAGCAAAGGCAGGCTGTATTCCTCTCTATATTTGGAAGCCTTGTAAAACCTATGTAGACCAGAAACCTTTGCCGTTATACACCATTTTAATTACAAGCCACATCACAGCATACATGCAGAATATTTTAATAAACACTGAAAAAGGCCACAGAAGTCCTACTAAAAATGTCAACAGAGAGCACTCAAAAGTCATGGCTGTGAACTGTAGGGGAACTCACTCCTGAGTTGGGGATCTCGTTCTTGCCAAGTATTGTGGTTTTAGTACTTAATGGGGTCCTGAAGGTCAAAGCGCAGAGGGGAGGGGGAGCAGCAGTGCTCCATCCCCGAAGTGACACCTCAAGGGGCAGCTAAGGGGATGCAGGTTCCCCAGGACGGAAATCTCTCCATGGGCAAACTGGCTTTGCGCTTGACAACACATCAGCTGCGAACCTGTGCGGTTCGTTGCTCGACGACAGACAGAGGGGGGTTGCACGTATCCGACTCTCCGTAGCCCACACTTTTGGCTACGAGAGTGACGAGCAGATCTGGAGCTTTCCCCATCTCCCCAGCCTCCCCCTTCGGGAGGGCCCCTGTGATGCTGCACGGCTTAATAAAGCACTGAATACACTCTGACACCTTCCCACTGCCTGCATATGACACCGAGGAGAGATCGTTACACCCTGGCGGCGATTACGCCTTGCTCAGAAAGCACGACTCCGGGCAGGCCCGCAAATACCTGCTCTTCCACACGAAACCTGGTCTCCCTGCACCCCGGCCGCGCACCCCCTGCCTCCAGAGAGGGAAGCCGGGCGGGGACGGGGAAACTCCCCTCGGCGGGAGTGGGAACCCCCGGATGTGCGGGAGAAGCCGTAAGGGGAGACG